GCGGGACGGAGACGGCGCCACCTCACACCCGCGACCCCGGCCCCCACCCTCACCGGGGCCTCCTCACCAGCGGGTTCTGGGCTCGCATCACATGACCTGACCCCCCTGAGCCCCGCCGTCTTCACCTATAAAAGGGGCGCACTGGCCCCCCCTCACGAGCCTTCAATGAAATAACACGTAGGGCGTCCCCCCAAAAACGTATCCACGCTTTCACGGCCGATGGCTCGATGTCGAGAGGAACTGTCCCTTCATGAACACGGCCTTTAACGTTATTCAAAGCACGCGGACACGTGTTTGGGGGACACTCTCCAGTTGCAGAGCGTCAACCGGGGTTCGCAGCAGCCGCTCGCCACGAACCAACCAACGGAGAGCCCAGGTATCTGACGCCCAATCCTCCCGCCCACGGCACCTCCTTCTCCACACCGTCCCGCAAGGTCGCATACAGGCAGCGCTGGGGCCAGCGCCAAGCACACAGTAGGTGCTCAATGAATGGTGTCCGCGGAATGGGCAGGGGGCACATTTTACTCTCTTTGCAAATGAGAAACGCCCCATCTGACCTGTGCGTGTCCCCGTCACTGCAGGTGTCCGCACGCCTTCCCAAGCGCCTGCCCTGATCTGGTTCCCACCGCACTCGGGTACCCCCACCCCCCACCCTGCTGTCATCTCCCTGCAGCTGCCGTGCGGTGTGGGGGTGGGGGGCGGGGGTACCTTGCGTGATGGAGCCGCGGATGTGGTGCTGTTCTTTCAGATGGTGGGGGCTGTGTCGCTCAGGGGGGATGGCGCGGCCCATGAGACCTGGGAGGGAGCGGGCGAGAGCCTCGTGACGCGGTCCCCGAGCAGCCTCGGGCGGTGACGGGTCGGGGTCTATAGCACCCCTCCCGGGAGGGGCCCCGCCAGCCACTTGGCCGTCCCCACGATGGTGGTGGTGGTGGCTTAGAACCCAGCAAGCGGTGTCCCATCTCTGGGCCCAGAGCAAGCCTCAGTTTTCCCATCTATAGATAGGGCAGGCCCTCCCCCAGCTCCCTCCGGGAGGCGCCCAGAGACCGGCTCTCTCGGCGGCCGGAAGCAGGTCCCGGCTCCCTGGCGTTTCTGTGCGGACTGAGAACACGGGGTGGACTCCCACCTTCGATGCTGCCCGAGGCGATGGCCCGGCCCACGCGGCCCTCCATCATGTCGTAGGTGCGCTTGGGGGCGGCCGTCTCGTGGGCAGGTCCCGAGCTGCTCCTGCCGTCCTCCTTGGACACGGACATGCCACCTGCACACAGGCCAAGC